CTTAGGTTACTCTATATACAAGGTTAGAATATTTTAATAATCTAAAGGCTCTCAAATTATTTCTTATATTATCGTCCATTACAGACCAGTAAGGTATCCTAATTCTCACCCATGAAAGGCTTCAAATGAAAAAAGTTTAATTTGAGTTGGAGTTTTCATTAGCTCACACGGAGGTTATCATCACACCAAAGTGTAGGTACTTACTCGCTCCTAAAAGAGGACAAAGCTCGGGTAAAAAGCTTAATGCATGAAATGCATGTGTAGTATGTGTCAAGGAATATAAAAATAATTAATCAAACTTTCATGTTAAAAAAAAATGAAACAATAAGAACAAACAAATTAGTAAACATAAAAAAATAACAAAAATAGCTACATTAAAACTATCCAAATAAGGCTTAAATAATCTAAGATTAAAAATTGACTCGATTTCTAAATTCCTAGTAGAATCACCAAACTGTCATAATGTGTATAGTCATAGAACTAACCCATTAAACACAAAACATGGAGTCGCCATCAATTTTTTTCACCTAGGTGTGATTGATCACCTAAGTGAATATATCCTTTCTAAGGTTATTCTAGGCTTTACTAAAGGTTCCAAAAATGAATAAGTTATAGTCTTCTAAATAGAATTGAGTTCGAAAGTTCGATTACATATAAAGAAGGTTATAACACCCTTATAATGCCCATCCTAAAATGGTACCAATTAATCTCACTTTATTTCTAATTATTTAATTTATTTGTTAATTTAATATTTAAATAGTGGACATAATTTTAGGTTTCCTCCAATGCTTTGGTTGATCCTCTAAAAATATTCTTCACTACAAGAGTATTCAAGTAACACGTCCGTTTCCTTGAAAAGGCTCTATTGTGAGATTTATTAAATATTTTATGAAACAAATACATAGTAAAATTTACAATTTAATACAATTCAATAAATTACAATAATGAAATATACAAATCAATACAATAAAATACAATAATCATAATTATAATCTAATTAATCACAAAGTCATCACAATTCGTTTCTAATTTTAATTTTTTCAAATTAGAAATAAATAAAAATTTTTATATCAAGATCAATTTTTAAATCCTCTAATACTTTGATTGAATTTAGAATACTTAAAAATTTTAAGAAAATCACACGTTCGTAACTTTCTTAAAATTTCATCATTGAACGAAATTTTATTTACCCCTAATTTATTTTATTCTACAGATTAAAATTTTATAAATAGTTAATAATTTAATAAACATAAATTAATCAAAAAATATATAAATTAAATAAAATCAAAACAAAAAATCAAAGAACAATAGAAAAGGGAATCTAACATAAATTACAAGCCTTTTTTTTTACTTCTTTCTTGATTATTTTTGCCTATTACTTGATCGTTTCTGATTAATCCTTACGAGATCTTTTTATAAGCTTGTAATCTCAATTACAATAGAAAAAGATTTTTTTTTAGTCTAAATCTCCTAATTAAATTCATTTTTAGATTTTTAATCTAAATCTACATCTCAAACCAATTTCTTTTTCCAATTAAAACATTAGACTTTAAAATGAATCAAACTCTTTCTTTTTTTTTCTTTTGAATTTATCAAAAATCAAACCAAATCTTATAAATTTAACCTAAGATAAAATGGGATGTCTATAACAACTTTAAACCCAAAAATACTTATAACAGTATTGGAGTACAAGAACTTGATAAAAGCCACGGTATGTCCGTCTCACTGATTTCGGGTGCCAAATCTCAGCAAATTGATGCAACCAATCAGTACAGAAAATAAAATTCAACTATAAAACTAATAGATGACAATACATATACCATGCCGATGCCGAAGACCATTTTCTTTACATCAGAGGAGCATGTTAAGTGAAGTTGGTGATGAAAGTTCCGTTTACCTCCTTGCTACAAAAGCCGCTTAATTTTCGTGAAGAACAATTGCTACGCAACTCAATTGATCGATCTTTCGTCAATGCCCCATGTTGCTATCTATTGTGTTTGAAAAGTTTGCGTCCTTAGCACCTCGTCAACACGAATTGGTCAACATCATTGACAAAAAGGTTCGTCCAGAACCTGTCCAGCTGTCACCGTCCTGCCCTCCCGCTTCTTCGTCGAAGGTCACTTGAAGCCACCTCGTTCCCTCTATGAGTTATAGAGAAGCAGAAATGATCAGATCGAAACACTCTCATTGTAATTACCACCCGAACAATACGTTGCACGCTTTAACTCCACAAATTCAGTTCAGATATAGACCTCAGCTCAGGTGCTGCGAAAGCCTACAATCTAACGAATCTTAGATTAAATCAATTTAAAATTGGATATTTGAGATTAATTTATAAAATGATAGTCATTTTGAATTGGAATTCAACGAGTTTGGGTTATTAAGTTTTTTTTAATAAATTGGTTTGGAGCAAATTCGAAATCCAAAACAATCATGCGTTGAGGATGGAAATTATGAGTAATAACGGTATGGATTTGATTATTTGAATTAATACATAATGTTGTAATAACGATATGGATTTTATTATTTGAATTAATACATAATGTTATAGATTAAAAAGTATTTGAATCAAATTATATTTGAAATCATTTAAATTCAAATTGAATTTTATTCATTGATCAGATTTCAACACTTTTTTAAAATGTTTTATTATTTTTAATATATTTAAATAAATTTTAATATAAAATATTTATTTTATTTTATAAAAATAAATTATATAAAATAATAAAAATATATAATTTAATTTGATTTGCATATTTTTAATTTTTTTACTTTTCAATAGAAAAACAAAACCATATCGACAAAATAAGAAAAAATTATTCAATCCAAGCTAAGCACTACTCAATTTTCCATTTTTAAAATTCTTTTTCTCATCTTATTACAAGCTACACCAGCAAAACTATAGTGATTGTATTGATTGAATTAGACTTAATAATTTATGTATTTATATTGTATAAAGTATTAAAATTTATATATTTATATTATATTTTAAATAAAAATTACATGTCATAATTTATATCGATATAAAAACATAAAATATATATTTTTTATTTTATTAAATTATATAATTATTATTAAAATTTTAAATTATTATCACTTTCCGTATCTTAATTTAGGCACAGTCTATTTTAATCCAACTCCCATATTTGGTCCATCGTTAGGCCCAGTATGGGGTAAAAGCATGAAAACGGGCTATGTCCATGACATTATCGGCAGAATCATCCTTCTTTCATGATTTTCTCCATTTTGGGCTCTTCCTCAGGTCCTTAAAACTTCACTGGCCAAGTATTAGCTCACAAAAAATAGACTTCTGATTTGGTTAAATTGTGCGTTGAAACTATAAAGCATGAGAGGAAGTCGGATTAATTATTTAATTTGACCCTTTTTTTCTCTTTTGGTCATTAAGATTTTGTAAATGGGATTTGCATTTAAAACTTAGGGGGTAAATGTGTACTTACAATTAAGTTCATATATCAGTCATACAACCCACAAAAAAAAAAAATTTGCAATTGTAATAGCTTATGTAACCCTATAAACCTATTATCCAAAAATATTAGTTAGAGTACAAAATTATCGTTTTGTAGATTATTGAAGATGATTAACTGATATTAAAATCAACTTTAAAAATTAAAATTTTCAAATTTTAATAGCTTAAAATACAAAAAAAAAAGAGAAATATTATAATATTATTTGAATCATTTAGATCAAATCTAGTTCGATTTAGAGCTTTGAAATAATTACACTCAAAAGCTATTAGCTCTATTACCTCTGTTTTTTTTTTTTTTTTAAAAAGATGAAGAATTATTATATTACAACATTAACGTATTTAAAATATAAATTCAATAAGTAAATCTATTTATCTACGAATTGAATTATTCTTGTTCAATTTATTGTTGTCAATATAATTGTAAATTTTAAATATAAATATTGAAAAAAAAAGAATATAAAAAAACTAAAAAATACAATGAAAAAAAAGAATTAAGTCAATGTTTATTTTTTATTATTAATTATTAATAATATTTATTATTTTTAATTATTAATATTTTTATTTTATATGTTATTTTATCTTATTTTATGTTTTTAAAAATATGTTATTTTATTTATTTATTTTATGCTTTTTTTAAATGCAATTACTTCATTAATTCAATTGATTTTTTTATATATATTTTATACTCCAGCTGTCCCATTTTTTTGTCCATTTTTTGTTAATGTCTCAAAATTATACCTTATTACATTTTTTAACATCTAAAACTCTTTTTTTATATTTTTAAATTGTTTTTTATGACTTTTTTTTTACTTTTTAACATTAGAAATCATGAAATTTTAATTTTATAAAAAATTAAATTTAATATTAAATACATTAAAGTCAAATTTTTTCTTAAATTTCATGAAAATCAATATAAGATAAACAAATTAAGACGAAAGGAGTATTAATAAAATTGTTAAAAGTATTTTTTAATTTAAAAGATAAAATGATTTTTTTTTAATTAGAGATTGTCAATAAATAATTGACTTAACATATACAATATCACATTAATTTAATCAAATTACTAATTTATTTTGTAAATCTTTTACTTTTCGTATATAAATAAGGTTATTTAGTTATTATTTAATTATTTTACCTTCTTTTGTTTTTTTTTTTACTTTGATTTTTTTTTTGATCTTTTGATATTTGATTTGAGCGTTGAAATATAAATGTAAAAACACTTTTTACTTTTACCCATAATCATTTTTTATCTCTTGTAATTTTAAAATTTTACTTTTTAGCTGAAAATTTGGCACAAATAAAAATTAATTTAATAAATTTTGTTATAAAATACAGTATTCTATAACGTATTTAAAAAAAAAAATTCAATATAGTAATTAGATTGTAAAATGATATATTAGATTGATTATAAACAATGGTGCAGAATCTTTGCGTTAAAAACCAAAAAGCGAAAGAAAAGAGGTTTTTTTTTTTTTTTTTTTTTTACAATAAAGGGAAAATTGTGGATAACAAAAGGGACAGAAAAAATGCAACGTCCAATGCTACGGCCGACGGCTAATTCGGAATCAACAAGCCTTTGGCTTCACTTCGCACCCGATACCGCATCTCCAATACGCAATAGTTGTGTGTGTGCGTGTGTTTTTTTCTTTTATTTATTAATTTTTAGATTGGCATTTTCATTTTGTCTCACACTCGTATCATTGCAAATTTACCTCACTAACTCTTTCGCTGCGCAGACAAAAACAGAAACAAAGAAACACAGACAGACAGAGACGCTACGGATACAGTCACAGACAGCTGCTAGAAATATCACAGACTCAAAAGTTTAGATTTTTGTTCTTTATTATTTTTAAATAAATAATTACTATTATATAGAGAGAGAGGCAGGAATTCATGAAGATGGTGAGGATAATTCCCATGGCGTCCTCGATACGACCTTCGCTCTCGTCGTTTAGATTCTCCGGCGGTGTTGCTACTTCGAGTGTTGGCGTTTCCATTTCTCCTCTTCTCCTTCCCCGACGCCTCCTTTTCTCTCATCTCGGTAGCAGTAATCCCTATTTCTTTTTTCTTATATGCCCTAGAATTTACCTATTCATTTAATTACTGATTGAAGAATTGGGGAATCGGGCATTGATGTGAAACTTCCGGAGCTCATTTTAGAGTGCGTTTAAGATTTAAATATAAGATTTTTAGGGAATTTAGAGGCATCTGCTTATAACGCTGTTATATTTAAGTGGTTAAAAGAATCACTAATTAGTTAAAATAATTGCATTTTTCTCGCTTGTCAGCTTGGGAGTATAAGTAACAATATCTGGAGATTCTGTTGTGTTTTATAGAATTGAAGAAGTGACTTTGGATGGATTTAATATAAATATATGTTTTTTGAAATCTTATCCAGCTGCACTGCAGTCGCAATTCTTTGGTTTCAAAGCTTCTAAGATGTTGAAAGCCGAGGGAAGCAGGGTAGGGATGCCTCTGGTCGGAAATGTGGTCCAGGCAAGCATGGCTGCTGCCCAAGAAACTGCCCTAGAGTGGGTTAAAAAGGACAAAAGAAGAATGCTCCATGTTGTTTATCGAGTTGGGGATTTAGACAGGACCATCAAGTATGTCATTTCAAGATATATTATCGTACATATTTCCTTTGTTAATCTCATGAGTGGATTGCGAGATAGATTTATTCTTTTTAAACAATCTTGTGGTGGAATCTTTGAACCAAACTTGAATGTGTGGTGGTTGCAGATTCTATACTGAGTGCCTGGGAATGAAGCTGTTGAGGAAACGGGACATACCAGAGGAGAGATACACAAATGCCTTTCTTGGATATGGGCCAGAAGATTCTCATTTTGTTATTGAACTTACCTATAGTAAGCTATCAGACTACTCTTGCTTTTCTAAATGAGGATAAATCTGAAACTAACTAGTTAACTATATATGAAAAGTTTCTTTTGCCTACATGAATATTAGGGTAGACAGTATATATGAGCTCAGCTATGGATCTTCATTTTCCTTGAATGGTTCTACCAGATTACGGAGTTGACAAATATGACATTGGAACTGCATTTGGTCATTTTGGTATTGCTGTTGAGGATGTAAGTTCGAACTTTGGTTTCCAAAAATTGTATTAACTTTTTCCCATTGTTAAGAAGATGATAGTCCGTTATGTATCTTAGAACTGCTAGGTTCTGGTTTTCAAAGCTGAATGCTTATATGCTCCACTAATTAGGTTGCCAAGACTGTGGAACTTATAAAGGCCAAGGGTGGAAAAGTAACCAGAGAACCTGGTCCAGTCAAAGGTGGTACTACTGTAATTGCATTTGTTGAGGATCCTGATGGTTACAAGTTTGAACTGATTGAAAGGGGGCCTACTCCTGAACCTTTGTGCCAAGTAATGCTCCGAGTTGGTGATCTTGAACGTTCCATAAATTTTTATGAGAAGGTGAGAGTTGCTCCAGAATTTTGGGCAATGATATCTGATATTTACAGTCTTTTACATGAACATGTATTTTTTTTGGGGTGGATGGGGGATGGGGGTTAATATGTTTTTAAGACGTGATTGGTCTTAGTCTCTATCTCCTTTTGTTGCAGGCCTTTGGCATGGAGCTTCTTCGTACACGAGATAATCCACAGTACAAGGTAAATAACTATCCTCTATTCCATATGGCAAATACAACCAGTTAAAATGTGTATTCTGGGGAGAAGTGGAAAAAGAAAGAAAAAAATGTAGAAGGATGAAAGGTGTGTGTGTGTGTGTGTGTCTCAAAGAACTGCAAAGAAGGATTCAAGTGTGTTTAGTGAGTGTTTGTCTGCTTTCTTTCTTGTGTGTCCTGAGTTACTGTTTTCATGGCTATATGTTTTTTCATCTCACTTTGATTAATGAAAGTATCCATGTAAACCTTTTAGTAATTGGTATGTCAGATATATGAACTGACGTATGTTTGTAAATTTTCCTTTCAGTATACAATAGCGATGATGGGCTATGGGCCTGAAGATAAAAATGCTGCGCTTGAGTTGACGTACAACTATGGGGTCACTGATTATGACAAAGGAAATGGTTATGCACAGGTAGAAATATTTCTGCTTTCTTTTCACTTCGACATTGAAAAGGTCTTCTTTTGTTTGCAAAATGCAACTGCATGCAGTATGTTTTGTGACTCTACTTTGTTTATTTGAACTTTTATTTCTTATATATGGAAACAAGTTAAATGCATATTGTTCATGTTTCTGCAGATTGCAATCGGCACAGATGATGTTTACAAAACTGCAGAGGCAGTTAAACTTTTTGGTGGAAAAATTACCCGGGAACCTGGACCTTTACCTGGTATTAATACCAAGATCACTGCATGCTTAGATCCTGATGGTTGGAAGACGGTATGCCTTTTGAAGCTTATATACATTGTGCTATCTCAAATCTGAAAATTTTTAGTTTGAATTGCTTATCATTCATCTACATCAACATCTTGAAAAAGAAAAAAGTATATCAAGAATGTCTGCTCATTCATGTACATTGCTTCAACACCAAGTTTTATTAGCTTTATAGAGAAAATTTTCTGCTTTTAATTAATGCTTCATTTTTTACTTGTTTTTGCTTAGGATTATGATCCAACTTGCTTTGTTGATAATATTGACTCACTTTGCTATTTAATTATGCAGGTTTTTGTTGATAATATTGATTTCCTCAAGGAATTGGAGTGAGTTTTGGGCGTACTCTCATATTATCCTTTTGACACTGAAATCAAAATCTGAGCTGAAAGTATTTGTTGAAGAAATTCCCTGTGACAACGCTGCCGATCCATTTGGTGGATAAATCTTTTGCAGTGACAACCGCATAGCCATTATCGCCAAAGTGAAGAAATCTTGAGATGTCAGTTTCTGTTTAGTTATCTGTCTCTTTTTATTTCAATGAAGTATTATCACAAAAACACATATGTTTGATTCAGCTACCTGTTGGGAGATGAGTGTAAGCATACAAAATGCTCGATAGTAAACATGTCTGTTTTGTTATGTTGATTTTCAATTTTTTTGGTCTCTTGAAAAATTTGTTAAAACATTCACCCAAAAAAACGTGCAAGACGTTGAAAGATTGCATTATTGCATTATATCTGTTAGATATATGTCATATTTCAGGTTTTTGCTCGAGGCCTGAACACCATTATGGCAAGTTGGACTGAGTGAAGCCAGTGGCTGTTCATGCTCTTGAAAATATTAGAGTGAGGAAGAGAACCAAGTCCTTGATTCTGGATACTGTGATTGATGACTCAATACAGTTTAAAGAAGATATCTGTGGTGAACATTCTGATGTGAAACTGATGCCGAATCATGTCTTGGTCTCAAAGGAAGAAACTCAAACTATAGGCAGGAATTGTTGGAGCTGAATGCATGGAACCTGGGATTGTGTTGCTGAAAGTGGTGATTGTTTTGAAGGACTTGAGGAGGTGAAATGGATGTAAGCTATTTCTGGAATGCTAACCCCATTAAATGGTAATTTTGTCTTCAATGATTCAAAATCTCAAATAAACAGATTTAAGATCCTCTCCCAAATGATTATTATTTCCATTTTCTTTATTTCTGTCTTCCCGCCGTATTTTAGCATTAACAATTCATATTTTAGTCTAATTACACATAATGTAAAAACATTGCTATTCACAATCCAATATCAAGACAAAAAAATTAAAAATAAAGAATAAAAATAATACAGGGCAAGGAGAAAGTAGCAACCAAGGTTTTTCTTTTCTTGACAATTTACAACTACTACATCAACTCTTTGGCATCAAACGTTTCATACTCTTAACCCGTACTTATTTTTTCTCAATATAACGTGACCTCCTGTCCTTCCCACAAGATTTCTATTTCAATATAAACAGCTAATAAAAATTTTCTCAATTCAATCCAAACCGTCCAACCTTGTCAATGGCATGATCCAGTCGCCATATAAGTCGACTACAAGTTCGGGTTTATTTTTGTTAAATGGATCACGACCATTTTTGTTTATATTAGCCCAAACTACTTGCCCGAAAGTTCTGGCTTTCATCTCTACTCTTTTCTTCATCGATTTTTCAACTGAAGGGTATGTCAACAACTTCATCAGCCAATCCCTGTTCTGCAAAATTCAAGACCAATAATGAAAATACAACGCAACAAATGCTTCTACGAACTGTACTGGGAATGAAACTAACAAATAATACCTGTCCTCTAATGGCAATTCTATGGGCATCTGTAGATGCTTGAAATTTACACTGCCACAAAATTTCCATAATGAATTCCCTTTGAAAGAGCCTGCAGTGACACATAAATGATTAAGCATCCAACAGTTTCCAGAACATCAAGTTGTTAAGAGTACAATCACCGGTTAGATGAAAGAACTGATTTGAACAACAAGACTCATGCATGCCACGAAAACTTTATACGGCCAACAATCCCTCCCCAAGATTTTGGTGACAGCCATGAAAGGTCACGAAATTGTAGCATAAATGGTCGGCATGGATATGTCATCTGTGGACTAAAGTACAGACAACCTAAAACAACAATGCAATTGCATGTTACACTAGCAAAATCCAGTTTACTATATTCAATTTTATCTGTGGATCAAAAGACACTAGTTGTCATAAATCATTAATGGTTCACACTTAGAGCACACAAATGGAGTAACTTCCCACACTAAGGGATCTATACATACTGAAAGACCATGTTACTGTGATAACGAACTCTTCATGATTCATTGCCCAATATAGCATGTAATGAACCAAGAAGATTAGTTTGGCAGGTGAATTAGCATATCGGTTTTCTGTCATATTCAAGCAAACAAAAGAAAGGAGGTAATGTTACAAAGCTCCCTAAGTGCTAGAAAAGGTTCTAGACAAAAAAGGTAGATGATTTTTTCAGCATCCCTCTACTATTAGGCATTTGGTGACCATATGTCATCAGCTTTTAGAAAGTCTTAACACCATTCAAATACCAAGGGATGAACTACACAAACTAATAGTACTTAGCTATTGACTTTGATTGATGCTATGTTGGGTGATGATTGCAGAGTGCAAACAATGAATTATTCATTCCCACAAAAATAGATACTTTTAGTTCAATATTGGTGTTGGGTATATGTTTGTGCCAAGTTTAGACATCAGGGTATTCCTAGAAAGATAGAAGATAAGGATGGTTATAGGCAAAGGTAGGGAGTGTTCCTTGCATTTGCACTCCAATGTGCAAGTTAGAATAGATAAGGTCGGAATAAGAGTAATAAGGAGAAATAGGGGTTGATTGGACTTGCTTTAATGTTTGCCTAGACCTTCATATTTATAGATAAGTGATGAGGGACCATTAGGGGATAATAAGAATAGTGCTGAGCTAATGTAACACTGGGTGTGTAAGATCGACCTGATATGTTAAGTTAACACAAGTGTCAAAATTACCCCTGGTTGTCTATTGAAGGCTTCTAATAGGGAAAAAAACCACTATACCCTTTTGACCACTAATTGCCCCCAACATTTTGTCCCTTCATCAAATAGTCTGAGTATCAAACTGCGAGATGTATGATCGATGCATCCGGTGTAGGGTAGAAAGGCAAAAAAGAATGATGTGAAATTTGATTCTTCGAAGTCGACGTCATAGAAAGGGGTCAGTATTAGGGGACAACTAGCCTTGAGCCCTGGTCAGACCTTATGGAGGTTTAATCTTGCGCGTATGTCTTGGGTTAAGTGCATATCTGATTAGGAGATCGCTGACGTGCTAATTGTTCAAGATGATCCGAGATTAGTGTTAGAGTTCATTTGGTTGAAATGGGACTTGCGTTTTATTTCAAGAGTTTAGATTTGAGCCCTTACTTTGAACTTTGATGATGAACTAGGCATTCAATCTATCCTGAGAAAATATCTGGTCTCACTTGGGGTTCGTTCAGTTTAATCAGTCTGACAACATTAAATAAAGAGAGAGGTAGTTTGAGTAAGAAAATTTAAAGAGGGAAAATGAAAAGATGTTTTTCCATCTTCGCTTTGACACGTGGTGTGATCTATGTCGTTCATTTGATCTATGACATGGCTATATAAAAGGCAGTGGGGGCTTTGTTTTTCACTTTCTGCTTTTTTTGCTCTCAGTACAATCTAAATTTTCTCATTTTAAAGCTTTTTGGCCTTAAAGTTGTTCTTTTTTTTGCTTTTTTTGGTACATCCTCTCAACTATATCTTCTAGTTTAAGTTCTGAAAGGCCTAAAGTTTCAACGTAAAACTTAGGAGAGGTCAGCTTAGGTAGGACAATGGCAACTTGATTTCACCAGTCATCGAAGGTTGTGATTACCAAATGATGACTTTTTGGTTCAATCCAATGTCTAAGAAAAAGCAGCAGCAAAACAAAGACAATGCTCGGGCAAGAGGAAAATGGGTCTTGAAAACAAAAGAACTGCGTGCTCAAATAGATTTCGACCTACAAAATCCATATCCCTTCCCTTTCTCTCAGGTCTATCTATCTTCTATGGTCGACCTTCTTTCATTTTTCGCTATTATTCCTTCAAGGGCTATTTCATCAATTTTTTTTTACTTATACTCTTCCACCAATTGCTGCTTCTGTTGTCACTTTTATTCCACCTCAATCAATTCTTGTTAAGATTACTTCTTTTTTTAAAAGGTTTTCACCTTGTTCTTCGCCTTTCGAAGTTGAATTGCTCTCGGTCATGGTTTAACTTCGTAACCCTGCTCCTGCTCAAGAGTTAGAGTCTTCTGTTAGTGAAGACTTTAATGATAAAGAGGGTTCTTATGAAGGACAAAAGGAAAGAAACACTTCTTTAGGGAAAATAACGATGAGGAAAGGGATCCTATAGAGCAAGATAATTTGATTAAGGTTCATGTAAATACTTATTGTGACCTTAGTATAATCACCAAGGATATGATGAGGGAACTAAAAGGTAGGGTTAATCCAAAAGACTGTCTTAATATTTGTTTAGTTCATCACGTTCATGCTTTGGAGACAACTTTTCTTTTTCCCAGAAAGGGGTATAGCATATTAATGCCGAACTCATCAGATTGGATCACCGATAGACTACAGCCATATCGATTATATGTATATTGGGATTCATTTATGGTCTATCTAAAGTTTCCACTTCATTTATTGTTTGTTTCAATTTTTAATTATATAATTTAATCATCACTTTAGATAGATTTTTAACGATAACATGTGGGACTATATAATAGCTTGGCCCAATAAAAAATTATTTACCAATTATCCGAGCTCAATAAAAAATTGAAAATTACTCTTTTATGCCTTAAGAAACAAAAAATAAATAAAGATGGTGTGATGGTGTGTCAGAGGTCGGGGTTGCTGCCGAAGTTGAGACGTGGGAAATAATAAATAGGCTCGACGTTTTTGTGATGCACCAGTGGCTTTCTCCATCCTAGATCTATCAGATCGAGATAAAATACTGAAATATACCCTTAAGGGAGAGCTTGTCATTGATGCTTATGAACTAACTTCCCCAAAAGTAATAAATATGATGAAAAACTGATGTAGGTATGAGGTAACCTCATAAGATTTTGTTTTAACCTGATTTTTATCTAACTTTTGGCTTGATCTTACAAAGATATCTACTAATGAAGAATTCAACTTTGTTTTATACCAGCATGCACCTAGGCCCAAAAAGGGTTAAAAGAAGATTCAGCTCAAGGTCCCATCTCGCAAAAGGGACAAAGTCATTAACCCTTCAATTTAGCACTCCTTGATAGTCCAAAAAATGAAATCTAGGGCTGATCGAAATCTCTTTAGTACAAGCACCTCATCCTATCAAAAAACTAAGGGTAGAGGTTTTTTCTTCCACCTTAAAAAAGCCTGAAGCCAAGGTGTTAAGGCCTAGCTCAAAAAAGATCTTTATAAGATTGGAGTTTGCTCTTATCAATGACCTTACCACAAACTGCAACATGGCGAGAAGGTTTTGCAAGGTCCTAGCCCTTTTATTGGTAAATACTACTTTTTTATTATTTTTCATTTTATTTAAAAGTTTAAGTTCATCTTATGCAATCCAATAGAAGTTTTCACCTCAACTTTTAAACAACACCAGCCATGCCTTCCACCATGCCTACCTCACTATGGCCTACATTTTCAAGGTTGAGAAAGATGTAGCTGTCCTGACTAAGAAGCATAAAAAAAGCTCAGACGCTTTAGGGAACGTTAAGTCCAACCTCAGTGCATCTTATAAGAATAAGGCCTAGTAGAGGAATAAAAATGATAAGCTAACAACAAAGTTGAAGGTCATCCTAGCTAAGAAAGTTTTGGCTAAGTATATGAGGGAGTAGACTGAGGTTTTGGCCAAGTATATGAAACTGAGGTTTGAGTTGAAGGGCAAGGAGAGAGAAAAAAAATCTTAAAAAAAATTATTGAAGAGTTCAAGGCTTTTAACAAATTCTTTCAGCTAAAAGTGAAGTTTTTTAGAAAAAAACATGCTCGATGCCTTTAACTGGCCAATGATGAGGTATATTTTAAATTTTTTAACCTCAACCTCAAATTCTCTGATATTGATATCAATAATGTCAGATCCAAACTTCATACAAATCAGGTCGAGAAAGATGAGAGAAATGAAGAAA